GGAACAAATGGATCACTCAAAGGCACACTAGGAAACTCTAAAGTCTCAATGTGCTGGTTTTGGCTGGGGTAGAGATCATTTTCTTCACAGTAACCAGCTCAGGGCTGTTTCAGCATTGTGCTGGGAACTGTGTTGATAACAAGGGATGTTTCTGTTGTTGCTGAGTGGGGCTCACAGTGTCAAGGCCTTTTCTGCTTCTCTCAGTGTCTTGCCAGGGAGGAGGCTGGGGGTGCAGCAGGAGCTGGGAGGGGACACAGCTGGGACATCCCTCCTGCCCCAAGGGATATTCCAGGCCATACAATGTCATGCTCAGTGGATAAAGCTAGGGGAAGGAGGAAGAAGGGGGAACATTCTGAGTGATGGTGTTTGGATTCCCAAGTCACCGTTAGGTGTGGTGTAAACTGCTGTCCTGGAGATGGCTGCTGGCCCATGGGGAAGTGGTGAATAAATTCCTGGGCTTGCATTCCTTTGCTTTTGTTTAACCTGTTAAATTGTCTTTACCTCGATCCAAGAGTTTTCTCACTTTTACTTTTCCAGTTCTCCCCCTCATCCCACCATGGGGGGAGTGAGCCAGTGAATTGCTGTGTGGGCTGAGGTGCCTGAGGGGGTTAAAGCACAACACATGGTACAGAGTGTGCTATGGGCCTTTCAGGAAGCTGAAGGCAGTCTCTGTCTGCTGGCCTGGCAGGCAAACTGGGCACAGCAGGATTAGTCTGTACCTCTCTGGGAAGCAATAAGAAAATGGGAACATTTTCTAAGACTGGATTCAGTGGAAGTTTTTTTGGTATTATTTGTACCTATTGTTACTGTTGCCCCTCCATGTGTCTGAGGCTGAAGGTGGCCATTGTCTCATGGAAGTGCCTCAAGGATGGTGAGGTTTTGCTGAGCAGGTACCCACAAGCAGAAAGTGCTCACAGGAACAGTGGCTGAGTATCAAGCTAGTCCCAGGTTACTGTCAGAAGGGATGCCAAAATCTCAAAACATTAGTGATTCTCTCCACACTGGCACTTGACCTGTAAAGAACCTGTAAAATCTGTGGTTTTGTTCTGTTTCAGCCACAGGCTTTTAATTTACTTTCTTTACTGGTGTAACATGTGCTTTTTCAGTTTTGGGTCCAGCATTTCCAAAAGGATTTATGGGCTTTTGATACTTTATTGCATTTTGATACAATATTGCTCCTAGTGTCCCATACCACCTTAATAATCCCAGTTCTGCCAGATCCCTACACTGGGAAAGCATTGCATCCTCTTTCAGTGTCTTCAGGGTGTAATTCTTCCAGCAGATGAGTTAAAACAGGACAAGAATAGAAGACTATGAAGTTTTAACAGAATTTAGGACGAGGGTGGTTTTGATGTTGCATGTGTCAGGAGATGATGCATATGAGGATGCGGCACATCTCACTAATAATTCAAGATGGGGAAGAAAAAAAGAGTTAATGCTAAAATATTTGCTTTCCCTAATCCCTACTGAAAAACTAGTCCCCATTACACTGAAGAGCTGCAGCCAAGTTCCTAGTGCTGCTCCAAACATCTCAGTCAGCATTTTCCTCTCGTTGTTCTAGACCACCACCTAACGGTGAGGCTCAGGCTGGGCCCGCCCGGCTGCTGCGCGCTGGGGAACGCCACAGGCAGAGCTCACAGCCCCAGCTCAGCAGGGGACAGGCAGGATCCTGCCAGGAGCAAACCCTCCCTTGCCCTTCCCACTGACCCGTGCTTGGGACAGCTCTAACAGGCTAAGGCAGAGCTGCTCTCCTGCACTTGTGGCAGCAGGGCTATCTGGGATTAAATTTTTTTGCAGAACTGAACTGTGTGACCTGGATCAGCGCTAACAGGCCTCACTCACTAATTGCTTAGGACATTCTTATCCTAGAGCCTCATTGCTGTAGATTACTGAAGCTTAGTACTTACTCTAAAATAACTTGCTCTATCTGTGACAGTGCAGAGCAATCTCCCAGGACAATGGCTGGCTTCTGTTCCTTGCCCCGTCCTTCTCACGCGGATCAAGCAGTGCAGGCGCTGCGCCGTCATCAGTCCAGGCTCTCTCCCATTACTGGTGAAGAAATTAGTTACTCTAAATTAGTTCCCTAATAAATAGTTTCTAATAACTCTCTCTTTCTTCCCCTCTGTGGATTTTTTTACTTACTTATTGGGAACCTTTGGAAAAAAAAATAGCATTCCTGCTTTGACTACCTTCTCTATGAAAACAAGCTGTAGTAGTCCCAGTTAAGTGCCAATAAGACTGGCACATTCACTCCCCAGGACCCACTCATGGAAAACACTGGTGAAGTTCTGACTACCCCCACACTGAGCCATGCATGCAAACAAATAGAAAATGTTCACATAAAATACTCAGTGAAAATGCAACCAGCAGTATCCCAAAGTACACAATTTTAATCTGCACCGTTTTAATTTGTTTGGACTCAATGGTCTCTCAAGTAAGAGACAGGAGTAGTTGCAGTTTTGGCTGAGCTTATCCACCTACCCCCACTGATCCTGTTCTGGCAGCAGCAATCCCTCATCCCCTGTTGCTAGTATTTTACAGGATTTCTGTATGGACTAACACACCTGTATCAAACCATACCCTATGGAGAACCTGTATGTCTGATATTCACTTCTCCAGTTGTTCACTCTGCCATTTGTTT